TTCTAAACCACATGATTCTGATGAAGAACACATTTGGCAGCAAAAGTTTGAGAATGCTAGGAACTCTGGTAAAGTGGCTTAAGATAAAGAGAAAGAATTGCTAATGACAGGGAAGAGTATGTAAAAGAAATCCAGAAAGAGGTTGTCTTATGCATATAAATTACACATTGAGTCTAACTAAGAATATGAACAGAATGGCAGTGAGCCAGATTTTGGATTGAAACATTTTAAAGGATTTAATTAGTCAGCAAGTTCCTATAATTAGGCCAATGTTAGCAATCTAAAAACTTCCCAAATGCACTGCCCGCATCCCTCATCCCCTCACAGTTTTCATTTGTGCTACATTATAAGCAAAGCTGAACTTCACTTCTCAATCTCCTTTGTTCAGAACAGAAATTACTGCAGTATGACTGGCTAACAGACAAGTATTACAATATTATAGCTATTTTAATTTTAAGAGCCATAGTAGATTGAGGTACCACTCCAGTGGCATATGATCTTAAGGATGGCTGCTCTGTTAGGAACAGCAAGGCAACTGTTGGGATACATGGGTGGGTAGGTGGGAGGTACAATATCAACTCCTCTGAGTGATCCCTTCTCTGCAGCTGGCCTACTTCTTTTGGGGGGTGAAGAGAATCCTAACCAAGTGCTAGTATTACATAAGATTCAACATCAGTCTGATCTACTTCTGTTGGTAAAATAGAGGCATCAAGAACCATCCTTTACCTTAAGGAACAAAATATATCAGAACAATTTTGCTAATTGGAATCCAGGTCCTTGTGCTTTTTGAACCTCTGAATACAGCCACTTACAGCCTCCAAATGTTGTGATTTGGCCCTAAGTTCTTTCCCTTCATCATTGTAAGAGGACCATCTGTATTGATCTGGTTCATATCATGCTAAATGGACTGGGATCACATGCTATGCTGTTACAGCAGAGCATAACTAGTTAAATGTGGGCTGGATGTATAACAATTCAGTAGATACACGCATGGTTAAAAATCGTAAAAGCTCATCAATGATTCCTTATCAATCTGGAGAGAAATGCGAAGCGCTATGCTATGAGGAACAACCCTAAGTCCTCTACTGTGCAATACTTTCACTAATGACTTGGATGAATGGGTGGAAGAAAGCCTTATTAAATCTGTAGTTGACAAAAAATGGGTAGGAAACCTAATACCAAACATAAATTTCAAAATTATTTTGATAGATTAAAGAAATGAGCTGAAAATATCAGCATGAAATTTAACAAAGACAAGTGAATGTTCTTCACTTAGGAAACAAAAATCAAACCACCAGGTATAAAACAGGGTGTGCGTGCGTGTGTGTTCCTAATTTGATAATGGTACCTGTGTAAAAAAAAGGTTGGAACAGTAGTTGAATGCAAACAGAACATGAACCAGCAGCGTAATGTTCTGAGGAAAACTACAATGCTGTCTTAGAAACATTAACACAAGTATAATTTGCAAATCACAGGATGTAATTGTTTCAATTTATTCTGCTTTCATCATGATCCATGCACCCCTTATCTATTGTATATGGTTCTGGGCATGACTTTACATAAATTGAAACCGTTTCAGAGAAGGGCAATGAAGATGATCATAGGAATAGATCAGGATCCTATGAAGAGCGATTAGAGGAGCTGGTTATATTTAGCCTTGAAAAAAGATGACTGAGCTGGAATATGATAGCATTCTTCAAATACCTGAAAGGATGTCAAGCAGAAGCAGGTCATGGCATATTTTTTTCTCATTCCAATCGATTTTTTTTTTTAAGCAATCTTTATAACTATAAGAGCAGTTCGACATGGAACCAATTATTTAGAGAAATGATGGGCTCATCTTCACAGGATGTGTCTAAGCAGAGGCTAGACAGTCATTCTTCATGGATTAATTTCAATTTCTGCACTGAGCATTGACCAAAACAACTCCTTCCAACTCCGTTATCCTCAGGAACTCATGTAAAAACATTCAAAGCTCATTTGAGAAAAGACTCTTTTACCAAAGGTTAACAGTGAAGATATTAGTTTGGGTCTTACGATAAATTAACTTAGGAATGTTTCCTGATTCTTTCACTATTTCAGTCTTTGAAAAGCCTTTCCAGAGGGTCAACTGAACCCACCTAAACAATGTGGCAAGAGAGAATGCTGGAAGAGACAGACATAAGCCAAAAATCAGGCAACACTTTGCTAACCTTTGTTCTTCTCTCTACCATGCCTCATTCCACATTCTTAGTACCTTCAAACAGAGTTTTCACACAGAAGTAGGTGGATGCATGTTTATACTGTATCTGTAAATTATTATACATTTTTCATCTGTGAATTTCCTGAAATATATTTGGTATCTAAACGGTTGGTAGCAGTCCCAGTACCAAATATGTCTTCAAAGTTTGGATATGAAATCCACAGTATTCCAAAACAAAGAAATTGTCAGACTTTAAAGACAACTAATTTTATTTCATTTTTGCAAGATCCAAGGAAAACAGGTTTAAAGTTTGTTCTGAGCAGATAAGAGAAAGCAGTGTGATCAAAGGTGAGTGACTCAACCTGTCGTTTAGGAAGCCACTTTCATTACCATATATGGATACAAATGCTGGTTATCTAGAATGTTACAGTACCCACATGGTAGAAATATCCTTGCAAAGACATGTGTTTGCAATACTTTCACTTTTTATTACCTTTTCCAGCTTGCTTCTGGCCCATTTTCCTCAATTAACTAATATTGCACTACTGAACACAAGTTCAGAAGCTCTCTCATGCTTGGCCTTTTCCTTTCTAAGTTTCTTGCCTGAAATATTTAACAGAGTTGTAACATTATTAGGAAAAAAGGCTCAGACTCAAGATTTGCTTCTGATATACTGGATCTAGACAACTTAGAAGCAGGGTACTGAATAGATTTCCTGCCCCTTTACAGACCTGCATAATCACTAAGGTAATCAGAGAGATCCTCCTGCATGGCCATGTCATCTTGTAATTATTTACATCTGGGATTTCTGTATGATGGCACCTATTCTCCAGGATGCTCTCACTCTTGAAATCTAGCAGTCTTCTGCTATGTCCTTATGTATCTGTTGAAACTAATTCTTCATTCAGGACTTCCTTGGGTGAATATTATGGATAAAAGGTTTTATATTCCATTTCCTTCCTCTTTTTTAATCAGTATGTTTTACATTGTTTTAAGTTACTGCATTTTACCATTGTATTTTAACAGTATTTATTTTTATTTGTACAACCACATTGAGATAGATTCATGGTAAGTGATACAGATATATATTAAGTAAATAAACAGATAAAGAATAAAACAACTATATATAAAGATTTTCCAAGACAGCTCAGATTTCAGTAGTATTAATATACTTTGCTTTAAAAAATATATAATTGATGTTTACTTCAAGCTATTAATTCTCACAGTCATATCACCAGACAGCTATAAAATTCTACAGAAAGAAGATGAAAAGGAAGATGGTTTAGATATACATAAAGATGGATAGGGGATTTATTTTTTCCTGTAAGAATATAAATTAAAAGTTGCATGCACACAGAAGGGAGATGCTATTTAGTACCTTATTTTACATTTTTCACATGTATTTAAACACTACATAATATTGTTTTCTCTTGTAAATGATCACATAGCTTTGCTGTTTATAGTGTGAACGGTCATATTGGATGGAGACATTTTGATAAGATAACCTATATATATATATAATATATATAGTTAAGAAAAATAAAAATAGATAATTCACACTGGATACCTCTGATCAGAAAGAAGAACAAATTTGCCCTCAGAGCAGTTTTGAAATCTTTGAGAGAAAAAGAGTAATCAAGAACTTCAGAAAAAGAAAAAAAAATTAACTCCAGTGTTGATAATTAAACCCAGGAAGATACAGTACAAGATCCTTTATTACATTCTTATGGAAGGATACATGTTCAAATTCCAGCCTCAACACTTACACCGAATTCAATGCTATCCTAGAATATATACCTCAATTTTTTGAGACCCAATAGCATTTGCACTCACAATGTCATATCAAGATAAATATTTAAATTCTTCAGAAAACATAGGGCAATTTTGAATTCCTGGGCTGTATTAGGATTACATTACTACATTAATTTTTTATTCTCCTCCATTCCTGTCTACTGTAAGGAGCAAGAAAGATCCTGAAGTTATACATGAAAAGTAAACCTAATGTCACCTAATTCCACAACCTAGAGTTGTCACAAATCTTTCATATTACTGCTGATACACCTGTGATCTTTAAAGTAATGCAAAAAGAAATAAATTGGAATTTATTGATGTGTGCATATTTTGTGGAAAGAAAAGAACAAAGATGTTTGTGGTTCGAGATGAAGGGACAGTTGCCATTTTCAGCACCAATCCTAAAGACTTTTATCAGAAAACAAGTCCTTCCCAATTTACAGGAGTGTATTTCTGAGTTACACTTACTTAGAACTGCCTTGTTGATCCATCTGGTTTCAAGGGAATTGCTAAAACATATCCTTTCTTTCAATCCTGACCAGTTTCTTTCATGACAAATATGTTTACTGTCAGAAATATAGTTTGCTTTCATGCTCACCCTTGCATCCTCCTCGGTCTACCTTTGAAAAGGGGAAAACACACTTCATACTTTCCCATTTGGCCTGTCTAAAGCTTATATAAGAGCGCTTTGCACCCTTAGCAGACTAAGAATAATGACACTGTAATATTGCCCTTCCGTGAGATCCCTGAAAACGCACCTTGTGCTGAAGGAAATAGTTATGAATGGCAGCCTTGTTTTGTATTTCACCAAAGGTTCTCTTATCCTAAAGGGCCTATTTACTCAGAAGCTATGGGTTTGACAAGTTAAGAAAGAAAAGTCACGCAAGTAGCATGACAAAACCTACAAAAAGATTAAAGCTGTCTAAAAACAAATCTCATATTTGATGAACAGCCTTTCTTGTGGGTATAACTAAAATGAAATAAGAAATCGGGGTCACCCGCCCTACGCGTTTCAAGGAAAAGATACCTGTCATACACCAAGGATCCGGACTCTGCTCCTTTCACCTGCCTGCCGTGGTTTCTACGCCGCTACGCTTCGTAGCTGGATTTCGCCGCAGCTCCACTTTCTGGGCTAAGCCTCGGAAAGTACAGGAGGACACCTGCAGCCAGCCAGCCGCCCGTCCCTCCCTCGTACCGCTGTTGACTGACAGCTATAGAAATCAATCCCCGCGTTTTCCTGGCGGTGGGAGGCGGGTTTATAGCACAAACATCGCCGTTACAAAGGAGCTGGGAGGAGAGCTGCCTGGGATCAAATTCCAGCTGCAATTATCCGCGTGAAAACGAAACTAATTAAGTTGCATGCATGTTCCGAGCTGGCGACGGGGCAGGAGTTTCTGACCGAGGGTTGTTACCTGGTTGAGGTATCCCGCAAAAAGAGACGTGATTTTAAAAGTTTTACAGAGACCCAGACCTCCTAACTTAGAAGATCTTTCCTTAGTTCGATGGCCCCAAGGTATTGGAGGACTATAGTTCCTACAATCCCCAACAGTCATAGCCATATACACAATGGCTATAATGGCTGGGGGTTTGGGAAATTGCGATCCTTCAGCCCAGTTCAATAGAGCTTAAGGGAGTGTATTTAGAATGGGAGCTGGGTTGACACCAATAATTCCTTGTATGCATTCTCTTTGGTCCAATTAAAACACAAAAAACAAGTTCTTGGGTTCCCATTGCACTAAGCCATACCATTTGGCTCTGGCTTGGTTTACTGCATGAACCCAGTAGTTATGGTTTGTAAACTATGCATTGTAACTTAGCTTTATGTGCAAAATTGTGATGTAATAAGCCATGAGTAAGTAAACCATCAACATGTGAATTAGGCCATAAGATTTACTGATGAGTAGATCATTTTCAGTGAGTAGATCATTTTCATTTCAAACTTTACGCATCTTTTTAATCATATGAAGTCATTGGCTGTGGATTTCTGGGAGATGGTTTCAAATTCCAGTTTGCAATAATTAGAAATGGTAGCCCTCAGAGTTCAAACAGCGAGAGTAGCCATAAATACCTCTGAGCTTGACTAAAGCACTGTGTTGAGGTAGGATAAACTAGCATCACAAGCAATCTTAGTAAGCACATTGGGTGGTGTAGTGTGTGTGGCAACAGTAGTTTAGGTGGTCAGTTCTATTCCGTTTAGGAAGAGCCAGCTTGACCATTAAAGGTTCTCAGGTGACTTTACAGTCTCAGACTTTGGTGATTTCCTGAGATAATAGTAATAATAGTTTATTAAATTTATATCCCACCTGACTCCCAGTGACTCTGAGATGGAAGCTCAGCCATGGGGGTCCATGATGATGATGGTAAGCCCATGCTCTTGGTCCTGTATACAAGACTACCCATTGCAAAAAAGTCTGAACCTTATCCTCACTTAAAATCATGACAGGATGTAAAGCAGCTTGTCCAACCGAATGCTTTCCAAATGTGTCTGACTACAAAGCCCATAATCCCTTCTCAGCCACTCAATCTCATTCACAATCCATCTTCAATCCTGCAACTCACTAAAGTGTTGGGACATTACTATTTCCCAGCCTATTCCACCTGTTAAGTATTGAGGGGTAATGTTAAGGGTTGGATTAGGAGTGGGCAGATCCACATTTTAGTTTATTTTCAGCCATGGAAACTCACTGGATGAACCTATCTCACAGGGTTGTTGTTGTTGGGGGAACATAGGAGAAGGGGATGCTGTGTACAGTACTTTGAGCTCCTAATGAAAGACAAGATGTAAATTTAACAAATAAATAAAGCTTGGGAAATAAATTGCTGAAAACACACAGTGATATTAATCTAAGAAACAGTTGTATACTTATATTCACATTATACACCAAAGACAATCACATTTAAGACGATAAGTTTGCATGAACTGTATAGTTAATTCATGTGTTACTCTGGATAAGCTTCTGATGCGAACATAACCTATGACTGAGGTTGGCTATCAAGCTACTTAGAGTGTGGGAAACGGTTGCATCAGAATCACAAACTGTAATTGCAAAGTGTTTCTGACATTTTGATGTACACAAATTCTTCCCAGCCATCCTTTGTAAGGAATATCCTGACACTGAATACTTTTATTCATCCCTCCTTCCTGAACATGCTTTGTGGGGGATCTGTGGACAAGAAGCATAACCCAGTCAAACGCTAATCCAGTCATAGCTCCTTACCAGTGCGGTGCTCTGTCAGCACTTGAGCATACTTGTGTTTTCAGTTCTGATATTTTTAAAAAGGCCCCTGTCTTTCCAAGCTTTGTTTAGTTTTCATAATGAATGTTGTTAGTAGAATTGCAACCCTTTTATGCCAGTAAGGTGATATGCCTGCTCGGAAAACATTAGTTTTGAAGCCTCGAAAGTAGTTAACAGTGACTGTTTCTGCGTAGACGCGTAGGACAATCGTATAGAGACAGCTGGAAGTAAATTTGAAAAAGACTACGCAACTCGAGCAATCCTATACGCAATCATTCAGAAGTAAGCTCCACTGAGTTCAGTGCACGTAGCACTGGAGTTTTAAAAGCCAAGCGCCGCGCGTTCGTGGAGATACAGTGCTTTAGGAGATAAAATGAATGCACGACCGCGGGTTGTTAATGAGCTGAAATATGCAAATTATCTGATACGAAGCCTCCCCAAGCTTTTTCTCTCTGTGGGGAGCAATTAATCTACGCGAAGGGGTACAATTACGGAAGAAACATGAATCGCCTTTGTGGGAAATTTGGCTCAAGCGAGCCACCGTCCTCGGGGTTCTTGCCAGCTAAGGAAAAGGGCGGGGATAGCGAAGGGTCGAAACGGAGCTGGCGGGAGAGTCGGGAGGATTAAGGATGGCCGACCGGGGGCTCGAAATGGCCTCCATGATTCCAGCCCTCCGGGAACTGGGCAGGTACGTGGGCCTGAAGCCATGATGGCTCGTCTTTTTGCTGCTCGCCTTCAGTCTCTTTCCGGCTTCGTTCGGAATCACAGTGTTTATCTAACGAAGTTTCCCTCCCAGGAGCTCGAGATGCTACATTTCATCATTCTCTGTCTCTCCCGGGTCGTGTGGAACTGCAACTCAGATATACGGCTGGCAAAAGCAAGCTCTCGAACAGAGTTGTAGATCCAGAGAACTGGTGGTGGTGGTTTTTTCCTAGCCTTTAGAAAAACACCAAAACCTGCGCGATATTTATATTAGTGGGAATTGAATCTGTTAATTACTATAGCTTTCTTTGCTTTTACACAACAGGGATACCTTTGTACAGTCTTTCCTTTTTCTCTCCCTTGTTTTATTTCCCTTGATGAACAAAAATGGGAAGTGTGGCACTACCCAACTTGTTGGGATTCAGTACACTGGAGGGCCATGATGCAGTTGGAGGTGGAGTTTTGGAGGTCTTCTGGGGGTCACTAGCCTATGAAAGCATATTATATGGTGGACAAATAACTGGCTAGCAGCACCTTACACTTAAAGCATTTTGGTATAAACTTTGTAGGCTAGAACCCATTTCAACACGTGAATAAAGTGTTATCCTCAATTGGGAGGCACATAGACACATGGAGAGGCTAGAAAGAAGCGAAATGAACAATCTGATTATTACAATAACAGTTCTAGTTATATGTAAGTGATCGTTCACAAAGGCATTGATAATAACACAAGTATGCTTCACATTGGTAGACTGGTTCCATCCGTGGTTGAATAAATATGCTTTTGAAATGTTTCACAAGCTACTTAAGATTTTGACATCCTGAATACCTTGCTGTCAACTAAAAATTGAGCAGCAGAACTTCTTTCCCTAAGAGACTTTAAGGAAAATTTATATAGTGTTTGAAATTTAGCATTTTAATAGCTATATTACGGGAATATTTTTAAATAGCTCATTTTTTACTGTTATTTCATTTTGTTACTACATGTACAAACAACTAAACAGTACATAGTATGGTATATATATTGCACTATTATGCTGGTTTGTGATCATAATATTGGGTTTGATTTTATATATTGCAGTATCAGAAGAGCTCTTTTTGATAACATAACCTTTAAATACATCTTAATTTCAGCGCTACTCCAGAAGAATATAATACCATGGTACAGAAGCCAAGACAAATACTCTGCCAATTCATTGATCGGATCCTTGTGGATGTAGATGTTGGTAAGTAGAGTTAGTAAATGGGCTAGATTTAAAAGACTCAGACTAGATGTGATTTCTGTTATTCCATCCCTAAATCATGGTGATGGACAAAATCTCAAACATTAGACAGTCCCTCTGAGTGTCAATTATTGAGTAATAGCACAAAAGGACAGAACTAGATGAAAATATTCTTTGTGGCTAAATGGAAGTTACTTTCAGCCAACATGAAGATAATAACTCTTAGATGGGGATTGATTAAAAGACAATTGATTAAGCCATTTTTGTTTAGTCTGGTTATGCTCCATTGGCTTGAAAGAAGCACTCCCTATTTTATTTTCCTGAATGACTTATTTTAAGAAAGAAGAGGAAAGGAAGATGTGTAGCATATATGAGAAGCAAAACATTTAACTTCAAGAAATCCTTTTGCAATTGTACAGGCTTGTTATAGAGACCCAATAAATGTTACATTTTTCTTAAAATAGGAAATAACTTTTTGAAGTTCCCATTTAGACTATACTATCTTTTTAGTGGCTCTAGAACTTATGAAGAAAACTGAATCTCAGCCAAGTTCTGTAATGTTGCTTGATTTTATTCTGCATATCATGAAATCATCTCCACTTGTGTTTATAAATGTAACTGGAGCTGACCAGCAAAACAACACAGATTCCAGCTGTATTGGTGAGTTTACTGAAACATTTTATTGAATCTATAATTCAGCAAATTATAGTAGATTGAAATATGAATTATATATATTTTATATCAGGCCATAAATAAACCACAGGTTAGCTGAAAAAAGGCTCTCTTTAACATCATATAAACTCTTAAATGAACAATATACTTCTAGAATATAAAGTTAAATGTAATTAATAAAAATTAGCATCCAAAATTGCACAAATGGACTTTCTTTGCTTACCCTATGTCTATCTCCAATTTCCTCTAGAAATTCCTTGATCTTCTAGAGTGGATGTGGATTAGATGTGGATTAGAAGTGAATGGAAAGGGAAATGGCACAATTGGTTGGGCTACCAGATA